TTGGCTTGTTTTACAACGTCGTTGCCAAGCGACGAAAACCCAACCCCGATGGCAAACATCAGGGGGGGGGGGGCGTACTCTGATGTTTTGCATGCCTTGGCGGTTAGACCATTAACCGCACGTCCTCGAGACGACAGAGCATCGTTCCCACAGGATCGATCACCGATGGCCAATCGTTCCTTCCTTTGCCAAAGGTGGCTCAAAAATGTCTTCCCTAGTCTAGCCATCCTATCGATATCATTTCCCGCCTTTTCAACCCACTTCCCACTCCCCACTAGAGCTACCGTCCTTTCCTCTCTATTCCATGCCTCAAACATCTCCCTGTACTTGTCTGCTACTTTTCCCAGCTCAGTCATGTACACTTCCTTCTCCGTCTTGTACCACTGACATTCCGCGACTACATGAACACGGTCTTCGCACTCGGAGCCGCAATCGTATTTGAACTTGTCGTCTTCATGGTCTACCTTCCGAAGTCGTCGGCTACGTTCTCGAAAGCCAATGTCCCCGGTCCTGAATTTGACCTTCAGCTTTGTCCCTGCATCCATTGGTCCATGTAGGTAATCCTTGAACCCTTTTCCTTCTTTCAACATTCCGTACACTTCAGACCCTCCTTATCGTTGGTTTATTTCTTAGATCCTGTTCTTCTCTCTCAGCAAAAGCAACAGAAATCTTCTCCTTGAACCCTTTTTGACCCTCCGTATCGTCTTCGTCAATTTCGAATCCTTTCCATTCGTCACCTACAACCTTGACCCCCTCCGTGGGTTGTCTACCCCTCTTGTTGTTTTCCCACTTCGCCTCCCAGGCTATGCTCGGACCTCTCCTCTCCCATACCGCACATGCGATACCGCCATGTCAGCTTTCTTGCGTCTCTTCCCGATCGTAGGGATTGGATCCCCAATCCTGCCCTGACGGCTGCATTACTTGTGCGCTTGGAGCATCCTAGGGTGACCTTCGCTGCTTTCATCTGCGCCGCCTCGAGCTCTTTCACTACCTTCTTACTCCCTTCCGATATTTCTCCGAGTACGTTTTCAAGCGGCGGTACGATTACGCCTATGTAATTACAGTCGTATATAGTTTTTATCCTATTGTCCCCTCAAGCCGAGTGAGTGTTGTGACTCTGCCTTTCTGTCTATTTTCGACGCCGTGCGGATTGATTTCACGCAAATATACGCTGGCTAAACCTCTTCCTCAGAGCTATTTCCTGTCTGCTCATACGCTCAATGTTCAAGGCAGGCCATCACTCGTATGGGTGTCTGTCGCGTCAGCAGTTGTTCAATTCTCAACCCCCGTTCCCCTCCCCGTTGCGTTGTCCCTATTTCATTCCGCACAATGCCAGACGCGAAACATGCCTGTCATCATCATCGCCATCAACGTCATCCCCGTGTCATTGGTTCGTGAGTTTAGAGCGGCTTTTAGTTGCTTTGTCTGGGTGTGCCAAGGCTCCCTCGCTTTGGGGTTTGTTGCGCCAGGCGTGTCTTTCGCAACGCCGCAGGTTTCTTTTGTCCGAGAAGTGTCATCTCAAATTCTATTGCAACGAGCTGGCCCATGTTTAGGGAATAGATAGTTGTGCTGCTGTGAGTACTTGAGAGTGCTGCAAGTTCCCCTTGTTGATATTTTTGTGCTCAGTGCATCATGGGATGACGCACACCTGTCGTTGGACTCACGGTCAAAACGGTTGCTCAACGAACCTCCATCCCACCCTGTCATGCTCTCTCATATTTGTGGCAGACCTTCGTCGGGAATTTCATTGGCATTGCCATGGGCAGCGTCGTGCTTTGTTCGTTCAGCAAAGCCACCTCCACAGCGGCTGTCGTTCTGAACATCCTAGGCTTCATCGCCGACGCTTTTTCCGCGTTATTATTGTGAGTGCATGAGGTCAGTTTCAAGCTACATTTCGTTGAACGCGAGACTTACCTCTGACTTTCCTCGCGTATGTTACCGAGGAATGCGAAGAATATTCTGTGGTCTACCGGGCGTTGTGCAAACGGTGGACCGGATGGGTGCCGTCCTGCACCAAATAACGCCGCTGTACCCCTGCCGGTAACTCGCACTGGTCGATAACTGACGCGACGGGTGCATGTTGGGTTGTTGGTGAGGTTTTGAAAATCGGCACTTCCTCGCGGGCGGGCGCCCCATCTCCCTGGCATCTCTTCCCACTCCCCAAGTTTAGAAACCTTGTCAAACGCTTACTCATCGCGCGCGGCAATGCAACACATGTGAAGCCCTCTTTTCTTGGTTGCGACATCATCTATCTTCCGGTTGTGGACCCGAGTTCTTGGCGGTATCGGAACACTGATGCATGGAGTTCACAATGATCGCTCGTAATTCCAAAACGACGAAGGAAGGATGAGCGAGGCTATTAGGTTAGTATTACAGTGAACACCACGCACGAACGAGCTGCACAAATTATTTTTCCTTCGTGCCGGCGTGTCTGGGACGGGTTGCTGCAGCTGGCTTCCGATGTGGTTTCCCCCCAACATGTAATGCAACACTTTGCGATGTTTGCAGAACACCTTGCCGATCACCACTATATCGCAATTAGCATCCTTTTCGGGCACGCGGTGACCCGAGCACCCCAGTGAGGGGGTGCAGCAAGGAAACAGCGCGCAGGCAGAGGGGTACAGAAAAATACTGTAGTGTGGAGCCTCGCAACGTGTGTATACCCACGCGGCCTTGTTGAAGCGAAGTGGCGAAACATGTGTGCGGGGTTCCTTGTTCGTTAACCAAAACTGGACAAGGCTGCCGAAAGAGCTGCTACCGGCGGTGGTGACGGTAGCGTGTTTGGCACCGAGGCCGATCCAGTCGGTGTCGCGCTCGCTGGAAATCGTGTGACAGGCTTCCGACCGGAAAAGGGTACACGGGCCTCTATAATTTACTGCCGTCGTTGGGGATAGGTGTAGCTCGCCTCGCTCGATGTAGTAGCGTCACGGGCAAGGGTGTTGAATCTTTCTTCAAAACTGGAAGCCGCAACGTAAATGCCCACGCCTTGCCATCCTTCCACCGCTGCTGCTCCCTCTCTGGTCGCTACCATCGAACGCGTTCATGAATTTCAGGATCACCTGGTTGCACGGGGTGTTTGACGGCGGTTTCGGCGTTGCGGATGAGGTTTTCGTCCTTCTACTTGTTATCCACGCTATCGCCGCGCCCCTCACCTTCCTCGCGGGCTCGGTGTTTGCTTTCAAGGCGGTCTTTACCTGGACACAGGGCGGTGGTGCCGCACGTCACCGGTGGATATGGAACACCCGGTGCCAGTTGCTAGTGTGCAGGTGAGGTGAAATGTGCCACTATTTAGAGGATAACCTTGCCTCTGTGTGCCGCGAATGCAACATCCGAAATGCTACGAACCTCTTCTTCTTGCAAACGTGAAAAATAATACATTGTCGGAGTATTGATTATTTAGGACAAGACCCGAAACGAGAAAACTGCACACACTGTGCAAACCATGACAATTGCCCCCGTTGCGATCCTTGAGTACTCCTTCACACCTCAAGCGAGAGAACCCTCGGAGCGGATTCCCAAGCCTAATGTTCGATTCAGCACTTAACGCTCGGGCTCTTGCTGGCAAGAGCATACTTTGTTATTTTATTTTTTCTTTTGAGAATTCTGGCCCTGCGATTCATCGGCATGTCCCCGCACGCGTCACCGAGCAGGCTCCCAAGTCTATGGACAACGCGTGCTCATGGACAACAGATTTTTCAAGTCTCCCAGGGCAATACATAGCACGCATAGCTTCCTGTACAACCGCCAGAAGACGTACTTGGGAGTCAGTCGTAGAGAATTACCTTCTGTGTGGGGGGCGAGGAACGACACGCAGTGCTGCACATTCACGGCAGGCTGTACTTTCGACGCGCGCGGAGTATACCGCGTTGACTTTTCGTATGTTTGATGGGGACCGCGGTGGATATGAGGAACTCTGGAGTTTGGTGTCCTCTGTTAGCATTGTTTCATCGTGGTCTTATTGTTGCATTGTTTTCCGGTGTTTGACGTACGGAAGTTTTGTTGGGAAAAGACGCTGTCGCTGTGTGTTGGATGTTCCCCCCAGTATTCGCAGTTGTACATTAGTTTACGGCTTATGCGGCAACTAGCTTAGCGTCACCGCCAGCCGGCGCAACTGGCGTGGTTACTAATGTCAGAAAAGAAGAGAGACGGGGCGTTTATGAGCGTTTCCAGTCCCCACCTCTTCGAGGTTGCTGGTCACGGGAGGAATGGCGTATTTCAAGTTCAAAACCGACCAGCTTGCTGCTCAAGAGTATGCGTTGTCCTTGACTTGTGGGTACAATAGCTGGTTCCTGGATAGAGCTTTGAGTTTGGCCCTCGGAGCCACTAGATTTTGTGGCTCTACAGTGTTATTCATTGCTAGTGGCTTTTAGATTTGCTGTTGATAATACAATCGTTGTCGCACCATCCGAGGCGTAAGGAAAAACCACCCAAACCCGAGCATTAGAACCGTGTGCGAGGCTTGGAAGCGGTAGTACAGTGATTGGATCATAGCTTGTGATGATGGTCGTTTGCCCTTCGGCGAGCGTGACCAACGGGCTTTGGAGTCCTATGTGTGGGCAAGGTTGAGTTGTCATTTTTGTACGAAGTGAACCTTTTGGGAGCCATGCTTTCACGTTACTTATCCTATTACGGTGGAAAAACCGCAATTAGACTAGACTACATATTTTGACTGCATGGTCGACGAGTCGGGGTTCGCTCAGTTTTCGCTATGGCACATCCATCCATCCACGCTCTGTATCGAAGTCGTCTTAATAAATTGACTTGGCCGTCCATGCATTGAGAACCCTGGTGGCTGACAGTGCTTCAAAACCCGGGGCTCTCTGGCGGGCTTGGTTTATGAGGCTGCAGCCACGCAGGCACGCGCGGACACGCACGCAATCGTCGTAGTGCTAACTGTATTTACGATTGGTTGAAGATTGGGTCATTGATGGGAATGAGGTGCCGGTCTACACATCGACAATAATGCTGTACTGTTATTCCATTGGCCTAGATCTGCGGGCTCACGGGCAACATGTTGCAGACGGTGCAATCTGTATATATGTCGTGTACTCGAAAAATATCAAGTCGAGAAACCGTTTGAGAAGGCCTGGAAGGTTCCCATCCGCGAATAATCACCGTCTGCGGTGAGGATTAGACTCGTATCGACTTGTCGAGGAGAATGCGTGTTTTTGGAACAAATTTATGTTCTTCTTCGGGTCGTCGAGATATGGATGTCCGTCCAAGTCCATCCGCCTTTCTTTCACTAGCGCAACCTTTTTGATGGACCTCCGAAAACAACAACAACGATCGAGCGATATTTACCTGGACACCACCATTTGTACCCCTCACTGCCCTACACAAGCCCTGTCGTCTACGCCACACTCTTACCAACACCTCATCCGACTCAGAGGTCTAACGACAATGACTTCTTGCATGTGCCAACGCTACGAATAAACCCCAAATGTACAGTACAGCATCGCATGTTTCTACATTTGCTGACCCGAAAAGTGCCACCAAAGTGTACATATTACCACGATGCTGGTATTGCAAATGATGAAAGTAACATATATCACTGACCCCCCCATATTAAGCTTCGACCCCCCATTATTTTGAAGTTGAAGTGTGTATTTTTCTTCGAACCAGAACATGCACATATACACTAGAGGCTTCCCGCACGAGTGCGTTTTGTAAGCGCATTAACACATAATAAGGTGGTTCTAGACTAACTTCTAAGGATGAATTCTACAGGGGAGCCCGCTGTAGGAACTATCCCCTCTGCAACAGGTGCCTGTTGATAAGCGCTATGTTTCGTGTCAGCTACGGATACGTACGTTACCCGGACCCTCTTGTCGGGGTCGTACAAAGGGTTAGTGCGGCGTGGGACTCTCTCCCAGCTGGTGAAATTCGTGCGGCGCTGGGGGCGCGCGTTGAATCGTGGAGAGTTTGGATGACAGATACGTCACAGGAGGAGAGGACCGGACCTGCTTGAGCCGACCTGTCGACCACACAAGGGTGCCGAAGCGAGTGGGCATGAGGTTCAGCACACAGTCTACATGCACAATGTTTTTATGGATTTAGCATGGCAGGCACCGCGATACGAGTTTGTGCTACATACCCTTCGTCATCACACGTGCGGTAGTGGAGCGAGCTCCTTTCTCTGCGACTTAACCCGGAGCCCGACGGGCAACACGTGGAGAGTGAGGCCACACAGTCCGCCTTGTACGTTCACGGCCTCCACCCGAACACATGAGGCACCTTTATCGCGGTACTCTTCTTTAACGCGTGCATTTGGTACCTGTGTCTGGCTAGAGCGGCAGCACGTCGGGCGCACCACTCCGTTGCCAGTTTTGGATGGCCTTGCGGGCGAAGACAGCGCCCAAGAGGAACGAAAGGACCCCGAGGACAACAGGTAGAATAAACGCAATCTTCACACCGGTTGACAACTCGACTCCCTCGCCCATCTCGCCTTCGGATGTGGCGATGAACCACGTCCTGGACGATTAGGAGTAGGCGTTGGGCGGGAACAACGGGGTTGGGGACACGCTGTAGTTGAGGCGCAAGGATACATCAGGCCATCATCGCTATCTCCTGTGCGACGTAAGCATTTGGGAGGGAACAAAGGCAGAGATACGGCGGTGGGAGGTCGTAACGGAGGGGGATGGCATGTATACTGCTCCGTGTAATAAATGATGAGAAAACTCACAGAACGCCAAGGGAGCAAAGGTCGAGGAGGAGGCCCACGATGAACAGCACGAACGCAGCTTTGTAGGCGCACCGTGAGAAATTGCACAGAACGGCGCTGCCCACGATGATGCCAATCAAACTGCCTGGAGTTTGAACTGCCGTAGTCGAGATGTAGCAGCACCAGGGGCGGGGTGAGTTGTGCGAGGAGGGGGGAGGTAGGACTGTACTGGTACAGACCACACGAAGAGTCGCCAAGTTCAAAATCTGTTAGTCCAAACCAAGAAGGGCACGATTTGAAGGTAGTGCCAAGTCCATTCAAACTGACGGACAAAGGGCGCAGAGCAAATATCGTCATGGCCAGGAACAACTCCTGGAAAATAATTTCGCGTTCTTTCGGCTTTGCCTCTGAACCTACCTCTGGTTCCGAAAGACGTTGTTTCCGGTACATCCCGTTCCCGCTCGTTTACTGTTTTTCACGTGCTGCTCTTGTCGTACAACATTACCTCGTTCCTAACAACGCCGCTCGGTGCAAAAACCACCGTGCGTTCACACAATTACGAACAACCCATCAACAACACATGTGGAGAACCCCTAAAAGGCACCAATTTCCCAACGATTGTCGAGAACGATTTCCCTCTTTGCACAATTTTCCTAATGCCATCAACCAACAACGCAATGATGGCTACAGCACGACGACGACAGTTGTAGGTCGCGGAAGTCCCTGTTCTTTGCGCTGACAACAACCATTGTACACTCACGCAATCCCGATAGTAAAACGGTGATGACGTGGATGACGATGATAGCGATGGCTGCTCTCCGTGTCTAGGGCGATCATAACACGTGTAGACGAAGAAAAAAGTGGAAGAAAAAAAAAAACGGTCGGGGTGGTCTGCCGAGATGAACATCATAGTCAGTCATGTTAGGGATGCTCCGCCCGAGCACCACCACCGCCTTTTGAAAAAAAAGACGGGGTTGGCAATGACGGCGGACGAATCCATCGTTGGACAACAACAGCATCACTCCGGAGGTGTAGTGAGACCGTACAACTATTCTTTATGGATGCGGACACAAGCAACGACGAGGAGATGCCTGACACGGTGGATGATCAAGACGACAACAGCGATGGGGAAGAGGGGGGCGGCGAATCAAACTCCGACAGCAAGCTGGTGGGTCAACAACCTTTGAGCCGTGTTTTTCGTCCACCTTTGGACCATAAACCGTTCGTCTTCGCTACGGTCGAACTTCATTTATAGTTCGCTGAGATTACCCATCATGATGTATCCTTGCATCGGCCAGGTGATGATCTCGGCAACGTCTAAGATCCCTTGGTCAAGGCTTGGCAGCGATGGTCACGTCGCTTCCGACGAGGATCGCATTGATTGGTGCCCTGCACATTCTGGTCGGATGTCGTCTTCAGGATTGTCCCTCATCGAAGCTCGAGTGGGCGTTGCGTCGGCTTTGCGTGCTGTTTAGGCGTGGTTTGGGGTGGTTCCTGGGGGCGACTATTTAGCGGGCAGCTGTTCCGCAAAGAAGCACTTTCAGACTGGCTATTGGTACCACCGCGTGCAGCGTAGACAAGAACACGTTCTTTGTATTTGAGCATGGGCGTTGTTCGAGCCGGTCGACGATGATCGTCGTGCCGAGTGGGGGTAGGGGTGAGTGAACTGGCACGCAGGGAGCGTAGCAGGACACGGGTTCCCAACGTTCGAAACAGCGACCAGCCGAGATGAGGAGAACTGTAAATATATCGGGACCACGAATAAACGACTTGATCTCAAGGTGACGCGTGGCTCCCTTCTGTGTGACTGTTTTGCCTGTCGGTGTCCATATCTGGTACTCTTGTAGAGTAAAGCTTCGGATGGACTATGTTGTTGTTGTTGTTGTTGTTGTTGTTGTCTTCACATTAAAAACCGTTCCGATCTCTCTCTACCCTGTTCCTTCGTACGTCCGTAATGATACAACACTCGACGCGGTCGATTCCCGTGGTCACAGGTTAACTTACCCTAAAAAGGTATACTCAAATAAACCGGCCCCGAGGGGTCCGCAAGTCAATAGAAATCAACGACAGATATTCTGGAGTCCTCCACTCCCTCTGCGCGCTATGCGAGGTAACAACTGAGACCAGGAGTCGCCATCACGGGTCCGAGAGAATGAGGTACACCCGCTTGGTACAATCTGGGTACTTCACAACGCAAGCAGATACAAGGTCATCTAGCACAGAAAAAGAGAGAAAAAAAGAGAGAAAAATACAAGGAAATAGTAAGGAAAGAGAAAACAAATGACAAAGAGCGAGGACAAGAAGGGACCAGGCCGAAAATACCAAGAAAAAAGAGACAGAAAAAGGCTCACGGTGGAGAGGCCACTAACGACAAGCAAACACGCAAACATGGCCACCAACCAGCGATACATTGTAATGGTACTTCATGTTTCGTTTGAGCGCTCGTTGTCGGCTATGGTGGCTAGGCGGACAGATAAGTACTTTAGAAAATGGACCGTACATGGTTCGATTCTTGGACACTCCGGGCCCCAGGCCGTTTCTTAACCTGTCGGGTCGCTACTCCACGGTTCTGGATGCTCCTTGTGGTTCTTGGTGCTTGCAGAAACACCGTACGGATTCGAGGTTCGACTAGCCCCGCCACGGACAATGGCGTCACGTCACGGGCGCCAGGCGTAAAGGCGCAGATAGTTGTCAGTCGCCCCATCCGGTTCTGTCTGTGCCTCGAAGGTTGTTGCCGCCTGTGGGCCATTACATTCGCTCCAGTGTTCTCCTGATTTTTGCCTCGTCATGTTATGCGAAGTACATAGATAGAGGTCGCAAAAGGGTGCAACCTAAACATTTTCTCCGACGGGAACGCAACGACACACGCCGTGGTGATATGCTTACGCGTGTTTGGGTGTTGTTAGCGACTTTTCTTAGCGCTGCAATCAATCGTCATCCCCGACTTTGTCGTTTTCACTACGACCGGACACGCCGTGATCAATTCCTCGTCATCATCCTTACTCATCACCATATGGTGTAGGGGTGGTTTGGAGTACTTTGTCGGGGATGAAGTAGATGTAGAGAGAACAATCATATCTGAGTTCTACGGCGCTGAGAGCGCAGAACCCGAGTACTCACGAGCGAAGCGGGGAGATTAGACCCCCCCCCCCCCCCCCCCCCGTGTTTGCCATCGGGGTTGGGTTTTCGTCGCTTGGCAACGACGTTGTAAAACAAGCCGCCGCCCCCGGTGTTTGCTATCGGGGTTGGATTTTCGCCGCTTGGCAACGACGTTGTAAAACAAGCCAATTCACCTCGTGAACTCGGCAACCAGGTTACCGTTTTTTTTTTTTGCCTCCGGTTGTTTTTTGGCGGTAACCATAGTGGTGGTCGAGTAGATCATGTTGTGCGGGGTGGATAACCCTCGCTCCGCGCAAGGGGGATGATCGCACCACGTTGTGTTAAAATGGTCAAGCACCCTCGAGGCAGTTACACAGTGCTTACAACTGTCTCTGGAAGTGAAAGCACCAGAAA